TGCAAGGCACATACTCTTACATACTTATGTGCATGTAACACCCCTGCACCACACAACACACAATAAACAGTAAATAAATAAGACAGGGTGGTGCAAGATGTAAATATGAAAAGCTGAGTCTCTACTGGATTTCATTAGAGGAACTTTTAGTAGCACAGTATAATCTTAAACAAGGACTTTTGTCCCAGAGATTGTCACTCTCTTCCTAATCTAAGGTACTGTTTGAGGATATTTTAAGTTTTGTATAAATGCTTGTTTTCCGAAAAAAAAAAAAAATACCTCAGTTTCTCCCAGTAAAGACTGTGTAGTGCTAGCATCGGACCCAGCATCTGGCATGTCTCCCACTGAGCTGTAATCCAGCCCTTATTTGCATCTTTTAAAGGCATCCCTGGGTCCAGTTTGCCCTAAACATTGGCATCAGTACACCAGACACTGTGTTGTTGATGTTCCTTTTCTTTCAGATCAAAGGGTCTTGGTCCAATAAAAGAGGAAAAGAAAATTACAATCCCTACAGCTATGGAAACATCTTCACAAACTGCTGTGTCGCCCTGTGTGGCCCCATCTCCCCCAGGTAAGAGTCAGAGGGCAGTACCTTTGTCACAGATCTCAGAAAAGAGGATGTCTTGTCTGTGGTAATACAGCTTAGAGACAGATGCCTGGCCCCCACCTGCTGGAGCTGTCCACACCCACAGACAGCCCCCAGGCCCACTCTCTTCTGTGTGCCACTTAGATGCACCCAGTGACATAGAAGCCTGACTTCATTTGGTCATACTTCACTTTTTTTTTTGGTCTTGAACTGATTTGTGTCCAATTGCAAATAAATTTCCTATATTTCAGAATAGGAAAGTGGAAGCATCATTACTGAATGACACTGAACTCCTGGATTGACCTGGGACCTGTGCTTAGCATAATTAGGGAGCAAGAAATGAGTGTAGGAAGCAACTCAAAACCATAGAGGGATAAATGCTAAAGGCTGAGGTCCAGGCATGGTAGGGGAAACAGAGTAGGTGGTGTCGTAGGGGTGACACTAAAGATGGTTATTGGTTATTACTCATGGCAGTAGCTGGAAGCTTGAACTCTCTCTCTCTCTCTCTCTCTCTCTCTCTCTCTCTCTCTGATTCGAGTGTTTGTGTGTACCAACTTTTTAAATGCTCATCCCATGACTATGAAGTGGATAGATGAATAGATACCACTGTCTTCTGTTTTAGCATAAGTAAACTGAGGCACAGACTCTAGATAGCATGCCCAAGATTACACAGCCAGCAAATGCTGGCTATTCAGGCCCTCTGACATTGGAACCAGCGTGTGGGTTCCCAGGTCAGAACTGTACAAGTTCAAAATACAGCCAACATTTGATTATTTGTGAGTGACACCTTAGTAGAATAGTTCTTAAAAGAAATCGATATTTCCTCTACAAACACAGATTGAGCAGGTATCCATGGCAAGTATCTGAGTGAGTTTCTAATTTATTTGTACTTCCTCTGCCATCTGGTCTCAAACGTGTGAGACAAAGTGAAACCACAAGGTGGCTGGATAGTTCCCCTTGTGTGTGCAGATCCCACTGATGTGTGCTTGTGGGATGCACACTCCATGCTACTGTCAGCCTCAGCAAACCTTTGTTAGAGAATAAGAGTAATTGAGCTGGCAGGGTAGACAGCACTGACATGTGGCCAAGGCCATTCAACCAACCACAGAGCCAGGATCTTGTGTTCACATCATGGTGGGACCACTGGATAACTAGAAATGGGTCCTCTCCCAACTTTGGCTCAGAATGTTAGGAGTGCATTGTGTCTCTTCTCCTGCACTAGGGGCCTCTAGGAAACCCCATATACTCTGTTTTGTTTTGTTTTGTTTTGTTTTGTTTTGTTTTGTTTTGTTTTAATAGATCTGGCTATCCTGGAATTTGCTTTGTAGACCAGGCTGGCCTCCAACTCAGAGATCCACATGGCTCTGCCTACCCAGTACTGGGATTAGAGGCGTGGGCCACCACTACCTGGCTCCCCATCTACTTTTTGGGGACTCCTCTTAGGGAAGAGACAGACAGGAGCAGGCAAAGCCCAGAGAACGGGATTGCCTAGAGACAAGAGTCAGGCCTTTCTCGTAGGTACCAGCCCCTCAGGAAGCCTTCCAGTTCCCCCTGGTCTGCCTTCCCAGGGGTCCTTTGATCAGGAAATTCCTTGGAGAGCTATGAATCACTCGCCATCTTAGACTGACCTTCTGTGAAGTTTTGAAGGACCATAAAAGCAAAGACACACAGAATACACACTAGGCAAGGAGCTGAAACTCTCCCTCCCCTCCCCGAATTCCATCCACATCTCCTCCTATTGCTGGTCCTGGACGGCTTGTCTCACTACTGAGTTGACCGAATGTTTGTTCTGGCTGGTTTTATGTCAGTTTAACACAAGCTAGAGTCATTAGAGAGCAGGGAGCCTCAAATTCCTCCATACGGTCTGGCTGTAGGCAAATCTGTAGGAAATTTTCTTAATTAGTGATTGATGGGGGAGGATCCAGCCCATTGTGGGTGGTGCCATCTCTAGCCAAATGGTCCTGGGTTCTATAAGAAAGAAGGCTGTGCAAGCTATTGAGAGCAGGCCAGTAAGTAGCGCTCCTCCATGGCCTCTGCAGTAACTCTTGCCTCCAGGTTCCTGCCCTGTGTGAGTTCCTGTCCTGACTTCCATTGATGATGAACAGTGATGTAGAAGGGTGTGCTGATCAAACCCTTCCCTCCTCAAATTTCTTTGGTCATGGCATTTCATCACAGCAATAGCAACCCTAACTAAGTTGGTACCAAGTATATTGCTGTGACAGGCTTGGCCATGTTGTTTTGGGGAGGACTGTGAAAGGACTTTGCAATGCAAGAAAAGCCATTGAGTGTTCAATGCTTGGTGAGCTCTTTTGTAGGAGCTTGCAAGATAAGAATGTTGAGGGTAATGCGGATGGTTGAGGCCAGGCCTGTGAAGTGTCAGAAGTTTAAAGACTCTTTCAGGGTCATTTGTTATTCTGAATTAAGATCCTGTGATTCTGGTTAGCTGGGGCTGAAGACTCACCTGCGATTAACAAGATTCCAGAACTACTGAAATGAAACCTGTGCTTTGTTGGAATAATCAATGCTGGTCAGCTGCAGTTGAGAAATTAGTGATTAAGAAAACACCAGCAGCTGGTGGTGGTGGTGCACACCATTAATCCCAGCACTGGGTGAGGAGGTCTCTATGAGTACGACGCCAGCCTGGTCTATAGATCGAGTTCCAGGACAGCCAAGGCTACTCAAAAGAAACCCTGTCAAAAAAAAAAGGAAAGAAAGAAAAGAAAAGAAAAGGAGGAGGAGGAGAAGAAAAAGAAGAGACCAGCATCACTGAGGTGAAATCTTCTGGGAAGTGTTTCCTCAGGGTCCATACACAGAAGCTGTGTTCCAGAGACAGCCAAAGTTGTACCTCATGCTGGCAACTGAACTTGGTGGTGTAAGAGTCATGCAAGTGGCACTGGTTTTGAAGGCATGAGAGGATCGTGGAGAGCAGCTGACGTTTGGCACTGTGAGAGGCCAGGAGAGGTTATTGGTGAAGGTGCAGCGTTGGTAGCAGTTGAAGGCCCAGGATGGAAGGTGTCACACAGAGAAGTTGAGGCTTGGCATCATGAAGACAGCCTATGCAAGGCTATTGGTGAAAGTGCAGCCCAGTTTCAGCAAAAAGAAAATTGTTTTGGAGATGCCAGCACCATGGGATGACCAAGAACAGCAGCAGCAATGGAGTGGAGCCAGCTGGAGCCAAGTCAAGCTGTGTGTGCTACAGAGGGCAGAGCTGGAGAAGTGACCCAAGCCCCTTGGAGTGGCCACAAGATCATGGGTGAATCCCAGACATTGGATATTTAGTTATTTACACTGCTGGAGCTTGATTTTGCTTTGTTCAGTTTGTGACTGTGCCCTGGTTCTTCCCTCTTGAAGCAAGAAGGTATTTAATTGAATTTTGATTTTTTACAGGAGCCCACAACTGAAAGACTTTAAACCTTTAAAAAAAGATTTAGTATTTTTAAGGAGATTAGATATTTTAAAGACAAGTTTTAATATGTTTGAATTGAATTTGTAAGGAATGTGAGACTTGTAAAGTTATGTTTTATATTGTGATATTAATATTAACATGCCATCTTGGGGATAAATGAGAAAGGAAATGTTGTAATTGAAAAGTGATGTGTTAATGTGTCAATTTGACAAGGGGTCAGCTGTGCTGGCTTGTTTTATGTCAGCTTGACACAAGCTAGAGTCATTGGAGAGGAGGGAGCCTCAACTGACAAAAAAAAAAAAAAAAAAAAAAAAAACCCCCCAAAAGATCAGGCTGTAGACAAGCCTATAGGGCATTTTCTCAATTAATGATTGATGGGGGAGGGCCCAGCCCATTGTGGGTGGTGCCATCCTTGGGCAGGTGGTCCTGGGTTCTAAAAGAAAACAGACTGAGCAAGCCAGGGGGAACAAAGCAACACCCCTCCATGGCCTCTGTATCAGCTTCTGCCTTCAGGTCCCTGCCCTGCTTGAGTTCCTGTCCTGACTTCCTTTGATGATGAACTGTGATGTGGAAGTGTAAGCTGATGAAACCCTTCCATCTGCAAATTTCTTTGGTCATGGTTTCATCACAGCAATAGTAACCCTAACTAAGACAGTGTTTGGGCTGTATTTGGGCCATGGTCTTTAAGATCCAAGTCCTTTGCAAGGGACACATCTCAAGAGTGACCCTCCCTCATGGAACTGCTTGACTTTCTTGCCAAAGGGTAAACTGAGGTCTGCTGATGGAAGTGTTTTCTTGAGCAGGTAGTGAGTCCTGATTTAGACAGCTCCAGTCTGGAAACAGACGGGAAAAGAGGGGCCCATGTGTAGGATGAGCAGAGAGAAGGCATCGGATGCTCTAGATTGGTGACAGGGACTATAGCTCTATTTGGGTCATTTGAGTGGAAAGTCCCTGGTTAGAGGTTAGCTTCAGTTTCTGAGATTGGAATACTGAGCTGTGTTTCATTTTACTTGTTGGGGGACCCAGGAGGCTGGCTGGAGTGACTTCTACTCTCTTATACCTCACTCCATTGAATCAACTTGACAGACTCTGGTGAGTCCATAGGGAAAGGACTAGGCTCCTCTCTGTGTTAAGGGGCATCCCAGGGTTGGCCCCAGGCCAATGAAGATGATGAGGTTCATCTCTGTTCTTGCCTCCTGGCCTTTCTCTCCTTCTCTTCCCTCAGTTCTCTGCCCTCATGTAGCAGGACCTTCTCATCAGGCCAGCCTGCTCAGCAGTGCCATCTATCTCAGCTGTGGCTTGAGTTGCCTTTCTCAAGAAGGGGGTAGTCTATGATGAAGGGGGTCGTCTTGATGAAGGGGTAGGCTAGCTAGTCAAGAAAAACCAAGACTGATCATGTGCAGGAGGGGCTGGGGGAGCAAGAGACAGAAGAAGTGGGTGTGAGGTATCTTAGTTAGGGTTTCTATTGCTATGACCATGACCATGGCAACTATTATAAAGGGAAACATTTAATTGGGTGGCTCACAGTTTCAGGGGTTTAGTCCACTATCATTATAGTGGGACATGGCAGCGTAACAGGCAGACATGTTACCGGAGCTGAGAATCCTACATCTTGATTGGCAGGTAATAGGAAGTGAACAGAGATACTGGTGTAGCTTGACAATATATGAGACCTCAAAGCCTGCTTCCACAGTGACACACTTCCTCCAACAAGGCCACACCTACTCCAACAAAGCCACACTTCCTAGTAGTGCTACTCCCTATGAGCTTACAGGGGCAGTTACATTCAAACTACCACATGGGGTATGAGGGGACCTGTCTTACTTGGGGTTTCTATTGCCGTAATAAAACACCATGGCCAAAAGCAACTCAGGGAGGAAAGGGTTTTATTTCATCTTACAGCTTATCGTCATCCAGGGTTCATACAAGAATGTCCCATTGCATCTTCCCTGATACAGGCAGAGCTGGTCTCCAAGTAGTAAGGTAAACCTTACTACTTGCAGACCTAACCTATTATTTTGGCTCACAGGACAAGGGTACTTCATGAGAGGGAAGTCAAGACCAGAGGAGCTTTGTTCAGCTTGTTACATTGTATCCACAGGAAACAGAACAATGATTGTTTATGCTCAGCTGGCTTTCTCCCTTGCATACAATCCAGGATCCTAGCCTAGGGAATGGTGCCACCCACAGTGGGAGGATTATCCCATCTCAATTTTCCTAATCGAGATAATCTCCCACAGATGTGCCCATAGGCTCTTGTCCCAGGCAATTCTAGATCTCATCAAAATGATACTTGAAATTATCTATTGTAGAGGGACCCCCAGACCTAGACATGTTGCTATCATCATCGAGCTTTCCCTCATCCTCTCCTTCCTGTGTCTGTTCTTCTTTAGCCTAATCGACAGAAGAGGATACATCCAGCCCGACACGCCACAGCCAGCAGCACCATCCAATGGAATTACTATGTATGGGGCCACGCAATCACAGAGTGACATGGTAGGAATTGCCTGAATCAGCGCCACAATTCCCTGTGAAGCCTTCTCTTCAACTGACATGCCCTCTAACCTAATAACACATGCCTGAAAATAAAATGCCTTAGGAGGACATCTATATGACTGACATGCTAGCATGAGGGAAGTGAATGACCAAGTTGGACAGTATTCAGGGAGGGACCATGACATCTATTCTGACTTGCTTGTTACTACACACACACACACAGAGAGAGAGAGAGAGAGAGACACACACACAGAGAGAGAGAGACACACACACACACACATACACACACACACACACACACGCACACACACACACACACACTGTATTTTTGCTCCAATAGTATATGGTACATTGAAGGACACCCCTGCCACAAAATCAGAGAGCAGTTAAAGAACAGGATCTACCTTCCTGACAGGGCTGGACCTGCTTGATAATCTCCATTTCCTGCGCTGTCCATTGCCCAGTGTGTGGTGCTACTATAATAATGTACCCTGCTTCTCTAAGTGAGCAGTGGGCAGTACAACCCTATCTTCATATGTCCTCCCTGAACCATAGGCCAGCCTGCAGCAGCTCTAAGCTATCCTCAGACCCAGGGCTCCATGATTTACAGTATAAACCAAACTGCCTGCAGGCCTCTCTGGGGCATGCATGCGGCATGCACACACCACTGTAAAGCAGGAGGCAGAGGGAGAGCAGGAAATGTCTTACCATGGACATCCGCAGCCATGGCACATTGACCCTGACCCTCGGAGTCTGGGCTTCCCTAGGTATTTGGAAGCTAGTGGCCTCTCCATTTACCTAAAAAAGCTCCCAGCCTCTGCAGAGTTCAAATTCCACACCCACCCTGCTGTTTGCCATTTGTATGGCTGAGTCTCCTACATGGAGTTTCTGTGTCACACAGAGGAACGGGCTTGGGGACAGACTTGGAGAAACCTTGCTGCTGAACATAGAGAGATGCAAGGTGAAGGTTGGTGGCAGATTGTCTCTAAGACCTAGGGGTAGAAAATCATCCCATTCCCTAGTCACCCATGGCTCCAGCCCCTGCAGAAGAATGCTTGGGCTCATTGTTTGCTAGAGGTGGTGTGTTTGTTGTGTGTGTTGCTGCACCAGCTGATAGTCTCCTTTGAAAGCAAAGCACACAGTCTTTGCCACTCTTCTCCATGAACATGCACACATGAGCACACAAGGAACCCTGGAGGCTTCTTACCATGGCTCTCAGGGGGAAGCAACAACAGAGAGAGTAAGATATGTGCTCACAAAAGGGAGGATATTGAATTTATTAGGCAACAGATGTCCAAGGCACTTAACAACATCATTTAATCCTACACCAACAGTGAAAAATTATCACACAATTTTTTTTTAACCGTAAGGAGAGTACACCAGAATTTCCACCAGTGTCTACTGATTGCTTCTCTGATTGGTACACAGGCTGATACATGCACACTCCCACCCATTCATCCAGCACCTCCCCCAAGGCTCCCCTGCTGTGTGCTGAAGGCTAGACTCCATGAATAAAAGGTTTATAGTGCTTAGCCCCCCACACTCAAGGTGCTGGCAGTCAGCACAACATGGAAGCAAGTCCACGAAGACAGCATTAGAAACTGTCATCAGATGCAGTGTCCCTATGGACACCAGTGGCCTTGCATTAGTCTTGCATTAGATCCATGAGATCCCCCAGCACCGACCCCAGATTGCTCTGCACAGTCCTAGATTTAAAAACTAAACAAAGGCCATCTTGAAGGTACTGTAAGCCACCCTGGACTCTGTAATGGGACATGGGTTGGTTGCTTTTCCATTTCATTGATCAAAGTGCCTGAGAGAACAACTCAAGGGAAGAAATACTTTTTTGGGCTCATGATGCAGATGGATCAGTTGACAGTTGTTTGGCCCCTTGTGCTTGCGCAGGACGTGATGGTGGCAGAAGTGTGTCATAAATATAATGGTGGCAGGAGCGTGTGCAGAGTGTGCTCTTCACTTGTGAGAGAACAGAAGGGGGAGGAGAGAAAGAGAGAGAGAGAGAGAGAGAGAGAGAGAGAGAGAGAGAAAACATGTAGGAAGAAGATGCCCCTCTTTGGACAAACACCCAAGTGACCTACTTTCTCCTAAAGGTTGCAGAAGCCTCCCGCCACTGGCCATACCTCCTGAGCCCCTGAGGGGTGTTTCACAGTCAAATCATAATAGCACAGAACTCTGTGGTCAATCCCTGATCCTGGGCACATCAGTCATTGGAACTCTACAGAGGCATCTCTTCCACATGGGGGCACTGTAGAGTCAGCAAGCAGCAAGCTTTGGGAGTCCAGGGTGCTAACTATTACATGGTGGAACTAAAGCCAGCCTTTAGATACAAAAGGGAGGGAGGGAGGGAGAACTGACTGCAGAGACCAAACTGCCACCATTTACCAGATAAGTGAGCTTGACAAGTTGTATAGCCTTTCCCCGACTCTGTGTTTTCATCCATAAAGTAAGAACATTAGTGTTGTCATCTGGTAGGACTGCTATGAAGATAAAGCGGGCTAATGGATGGCATTTAAATCTTGCCTGACACAGGGCAAGTACAATGTAAGCATTTGATCATATTATTTCCCTCCCTGAAGTTCATGGGTAGCAAGATCTGGAGCAATTGTAGTCTTTTGAGCAGCTGGACAAGAGAGGATGTGACTGATGAGTGTAAGAGTTGGGTCCCTACCAGTTATCTCCCTAGCCGCTCAGCTCCTACTACCTTTCTGGCCCTCAGTCTTCCTCTTTTGCAAGATAGGAGCTGGGACTTCCTGTGTCTAAAGTCCGTTCCAGCTCTGGCCAATTGTGAATCCACTCTTTGAGCATCACAGAGGATAACCCCACCTAGAAGATGGTGGACCATGACTCTCAGTTCTTCTCCCCCCAGCCCATCATGCCCCACAGTTCCCAAACTGAGCATGTCCGTTCTTTCTGATGATGGAATTATGCTGACATCTGATCTACGTGCCACAGCCCCTGAGTCCCACTGTGCGTTTCTCCTCTCATTTGTCTTGTGTTTCTTATATATTTCCAGAGTAAATCCCACTTGGTCATGATAGGCAATTATCTTTTTATGTTGCTTGATTCATTTTGCTGAGACATGAGAGATATGGTTTGTAGTTTCCATTTCCTGTAAAACTCTGTCAGTGTTGGTATCAGAGTGATTCTGGCCTTATTCTAGAACAACTTTAAAAAAGGGTGGCCCTTAGTCTTTTGCTGAATAAGCTGTGAAAATGGATGTCATCTTTTCCTCGTCGATGCAGGAGAACGCACCAGCGCCTCCTCTAGCGTTGAGTTTTCCTTCACAGACAGTTATCTGCTCTGTGCGTAGGAGTCTGTTCCAAATTGCTGTTTTTGGTCAGTGTCAGTCTTGGGTGACTTTGTGGAGATGTGTGCATCTCATCCATTACTGTTGATCGGTACTATACTATTTTGAAGACAGATGGAAGATGAGATAATGGAGGACTAGAATGTTAAAACAAATAGAAAAAATGCAGTAATTTGTAAATGTGGAAGGAAAGGGGTATAAACAGACTTTGGTACAATTTTAAAAAAGCACACAGTGGAAGGTCAACCAGATGGCTCAGTGTGCAAAGTTGCTTTCCATCCAAGGATACAAGCCTGATGACCCTAGTTGGACCCCAGAACACACATAAAGCTACAAGGAGAAAATCACGTCTGCCAAGTTTTCATCTGTCCTCCACACACATGCTGAGCTATGCACACACCCATATCCACACACACAAATGAAGTAATAAACTTTAAATCATTTTAAAAGCACATGGAATAATTCCCTAAAGGGCAAGTTGGGGTTTGTTTTGGAGGATAGTCTTTGTTTTCATCTCTTTGTAAATGCTGCATCCTGGTGAAGAAATGTAGAAAGGGGATGTGTACAGGAGTTTCTCCCATAGTCTTTCAGTTCCCATAGTCAGTCTTCCTCATGTTCCCTCCCCTATGAATGCCTACTGTGGGGAGAGATTTATCGTCAGTCACTCATACCCTAAGGGGGATGAGAATCAAATTTCAGGGATATATAAATTTCAATGGATTAATATTTGACTTGGATTAAAAAGCATTTCAGGTTAGGTGTGGCGGTGACTCGTGCCTCTAATTTCATCACTTGGTATATGGAGGCAGGAGGATTAGAAGTTTAAGGTCATCCTCAACCACATAGCAAGTTAGCTAGCTTAGGCTGCATGAGGTCATGTCTCAACCAGGAGGACTAGAAAGATGGCTCCATGGATAAGAGCACTTCCTGTGCATGCATGAGGACCTGAGTTCAGATCCCAGCACCTATCTAAGTTAAGAGTCAGGCATGACATACAAATGCACTTGTCACCTTGGTGTCTGTGGTGGAATTAGGAGGATTGCTAAAGCTTGCTGGCCACCAGCCTGCTTCTGGTTTCAATGACAGACCCTGTCTCAGAGGAATAAGGCAAGGAGTGACAGAGCAGAACACCCAGGGTCCTCCTCTGGCTTCAGTACTGGCACATACACCCACACACAAGGACATAGGCCACACTTATACACATAGATGTTTATGTGAACATACATAAACAGAAATTTTCCAATTTTAATAATAATATAGCAGCAGTAGTAAATGTGTGTTTTAGTGCTATTTTTAATACTTCGGCCTCAATATCTACAAAAGTCTCTAATAATTGGTGTCAGTAGTGCTAGTTAAGAGAGAGAGAAGGAATGGGGTTGGGACTAATTACTGAGTGTCAATAATTGCTGGGCGTCACTTTACTCCATTCTTTGCATTTATTTACATCTCATTTAATCTTCTCAAAGGTGAAGTGTTAATGAGATCAAGTGAGAGCATGCTAATTGTCCCATTGAGGAGACGAACTCCTCAATGTTAGGTATGTGACACAGCTAAAGGGGTGGGGCTGAGCTGAGGTTTTGTCCTTGGTAGTCTGACTCCATGAAAAGTGCTCTTTCTAACCCTCTACCCCGGGGCCTCTACGTGGAGGCATTTTCATGGAGAGGAATGTTTTTAT